CAGCTGCAGCAGACCCTTATTGAGGAGGGGAGACTTTCATTTCGTATTAAGGTTATTCAGAATCGGTATTACGTAAAGGCGTCACACACACACACATACAGGTAAAAGTGCCACGACAAATATGAAAGAGAAATAGCCAAATCATTCCAGATCCATTTATATCTATATATTTTTGATTTTAGTTTTGTATTTTTAAGATGTATTATAGAGCTGGGCAGTTTTGTTGAACCAGTGTTAAATTGAAACTTTTACAAGAAAGAGTTCCAGCTCTGATCATGCCCATTATTGATGGACAAAAGCTTAGCCCGGTTTTACCCGAAACGAGGAGGATTGTTCGTGAATTGCAGCTGCAGAACGAGAATCAGCCTTCTTCTTCCACTAAGATCAACCACGTATCTCTTCATCATGCATTTTCATACGAAATGAAAATCGCTCTTACAATCTTATCTTAAGAGATTTATCGAAACCCAGCTACTATTCGTATCTACAGGAGAGCCTTAGCAAATCAGCCATCTAAAATTGCTTTCAGTAGCCAGTCCGCCCATTCACATCATTGCAGCTCCCGCTGTCGCCTCTAACTCTGTTCTAAAGTGTGCATCAGATAGCTACACATTCCATTAGCCCAGTAGACATACTTGGGGGGAGGGGGCAAGGTGAGTTACATGCCAGAAGACCTCTTGTATATGCAAGTCCGTACTGGCAACTGTTTGCCTCCTGTCGGGCTTGCCAACTGGCGAATAAAAATAAAATCGTGTATTTGTAAGGTATATCATAATCATATTTGTGCCTCAGAGACCGATAGTGGACTAGTCCATGTGAAGTTTATGTAAGCCATATTCATAGCATACTGCCAGTGAACTTCGCACCGAACAGTGCGATTATATTCGAAACAGGTTGTAGCCATGACCTCACCAAGGTCACGCTATCCGATCAAAGTCTGGGTGTCCAAAAGTCAAGGCATTTCAAGGCAGACTATAATTCTGGTAGTTTATAAACCACCTTAATCTGAATATAATTGATATGTTCCAACGCTGATAATTATCATAACCACTACAACAGAGGACTCAGGACGCGGTGCGTCCAACTAGGTCGTCCTGACAACACAAACAAATTGTGAAAACGAGATCAAACCGGTTATACAGTTGAAATTTTTAGTCAGTTTGGTTTATTAATTTTTCCGTCATTCATTTTGTACCGACCGGGTTTGATTCCCGTTAAGGATTCTGATGAGACCAAGGCGAGTTCAAAACTATATTCCAGCCCAATCTGGATGAGAATACCTTTTGGTAAGCAAGGACAGTTTA